CCCTAAGCCCTAAACCCTAACACCCCAGAGTTCCTCAAGGCCTTCGGCCACACGAAGGACAAAAAAACCCCACAAAGACAAAGCACGCTGAACCTCGAAGCCTCAGCAACCCAACACTTTAGGGTTTAGGGTTTAGGGTTTAGGGCTTAGGGTTTAGGATTTAGGGTTTAGGGTTTAGGGTTTAGGGTTTTTAGTCCCTGGGGCTGCTCCACCAGAGGTGCGGCCCCGCGCCCTCTTAGTTTCTGTTGTGCAGGGGTTGTATACTTTTGTACATCCTTCGTGGCCCTGTCGGAGACACACCCAACGATTTTAGAGGTCATTCCACAGAGCTAGTTCAGGAGCTTTCGCAAGTAGGCTGGAGTTCTCGTTTTTGTTTAAGAAAGTGTCGCTGCACCTAATTATACAGTAATACTATACTATATTACAGTAAGACAATACTGTACTATACTATACTATACTATACTATACTATACTGTACTATACTATACTATACTAAATACTTACACCCCTACACCCTAAACCCTAAACCCTAAACCCTAAACCCATACTATCTCAGAAGGCCACGGAAGGCAAGCCCAAGAAATCCAAGGCGCCAGAGGTCGTCGCCCAGCCGGTTTTGAGCGGGAAGGGGTTGCTAGGGTTCAGGGCTTGTCATGGGGGCTTCGAGCTTTAGGGGTTTAGGGGTTTAGGGGTTTAGGGGTTTATGGGTTTAGGGGTTTAGGGGTTTAGGGGTTTAGGGCTCAGGGCTTCTTGGGGGCTTCGAGCTTAATTAGGTCTTGCCGTTCGGGATGTAGGTTACGGGTTCATTTACAGGAAGTTCAGGGTTCTGCAGTTCCGGTTTGGGGGTTCAGGGTGTTAATTACTTGGAAGTTCGTAGGCTCATAAGCACATATCGCACTCGTTAATAACGTCATTGCAACAACCTGCTCACCTGAGCCCCCTGCTTTGGCAAAGGGTTGCGCAGTTGCATAGGCAGATGCAGGTTTGGGCGACAGTTTGAACCCTCGTATTATGGCAGGATAACAAGAATCATAGTTTCTGGGTTTAGGGTTTAGGAGGGTTTAGGGTTTAGGGTTTAGGGTTTAGGGGTGTTTAGGGTTTAGGAGGGTTTAGGGTTTAGGGTTTAGGGGTCTTTGTTATGTCCCGTCCACCCTCACCCCTTACCCCACCAGGCGGCAGACGACAAGCCGAAGAAGTCGAAAGCACCCGAGGCATTCCTGGGATGACTGTTTACTTGCGGTTGGGGTCCGGTGGTCCCCAAACCCCATAAACCCTAAACCCCTAAACCCCTAAACCCCTAAACCCTAAACCCTAAAAGCCTGGGCGGCCAGGAACTCCCTGAGTTGGCACGAGGCGGAAGGCCCAATGGGGCGTTCTCTGGGACCGCCAAGGCCAGGGTTCCTTTTTAGGGGCTTTAGGGCTTTAAGGGTTTTAGGGCTTAGGGTAGTTTAGGGTTTTAGGCGCTTTAGGGCTTTAAGGGTTTAGGGCTTAGGGTAGTTTAGGGTTTTAGGGGCTTTAGGGCTTTAAGGGTTTTAGGGCTTACGGTAGTTTAGGGTTTTAGGGGCTTTAGGGCTTTAAGGGTTTTAGGGCTTAGGGTAGTTTAGGGTTTTTGGGGTTTAGGGCTTTAAGGGTTTTAGGGTTTAGGGTAGTTCAGGGGTAAAGGGTTTAGGGTTTAGGGGTACAGGGTTTAGGGCTTTGGGTTTAGGGGTTTGGGGTAAAGGGTTTAAGGCTTTAAGGTTCCTTTGGGATGTAGGGTTTTAGGGTTTTAGGGTTTCGGGCTTTAGGGTTTTAGGGTTTTAGGATTTAGGGTTTAGGGGTAGGGTTTTAGGACTTCTGGGTTTAGGGTTTAAGCGGTTTAGGGGTATAGGTATAGGGTTTTAGGGTTTTAGGGTTTTAGGGTTTTAGGGTTTTAGGGGTTTGGGGTTAGGGGTTTGGGTTTAGGGTCTTGGTGTTTTAGGGTTTTAGGGTCAAGGGTTTTAGGGTGTCAGGGTTTTAGGGGGTTTGGGTCAAGGGTTTAGAGTTTAGGGTTTTAGGGTTTAGGGTTTTGGGTTTTAGGGTTTCGGGTTTAGGTCACAGTGCTGTTTTAAGTGTTTTAATTATCTGCGACGACTATTGCCATCATATTTCTGTTTTTCGGGTATATCTTTAGTCATAATGATGAGAAGCACCATTGTTGTTATGATCATTGTTTTCATTATTACCGCTGTTCCAAGGATTATAACTATGAGTTTGTTGTTGTGGTTGTTGTTCTCATTGTTTGTATTCTCATTCGTACTCTTGTTACCATCATTATTGTTAGTCGTAGTATGTAATGACAATTGCTGTGGTTGCTTCGCTACACGATTATTATGGTATTCCTAGATTTTTTTAATTACTGGCATTCTCATTTCCATGTTGTGATGTTTAGTGCTGTTATTGTTTGTTTGCCACTATTGTTGTTTGTCGCAATACCTCATTACTGAAGAAGCCTGAGAACAAGTCCGGAACCCTGGACCCTCAACCCAATATGCCAAAGGCGCGACGGCGTGGACATCCGAAAGTAACCCTGGGCCCACAGCGTTCAACCCTGAATTCCTAAATCTTGAGCCCCAAACCCTCACTGAGCCCTGAACCCCTGACCTTCACCATATCATAGTAGCTTTGTTGTAGTTATACCACACTATACCACCATTTAGGGCTTTGGGGTTAGGGTTTAATGTAGGACCCTGCTAGAGAAACCCTGGCCCTATAACTCTATAACCCCAACATTGAGAGGTTCTACAAAGAACCCTAATAACGACACAGGGTCCAGGGTTTCTTAATCAGGTTCCCACACTAAACCCTTGAACCCTTATGGTACCCTTGTAGATCCCTGTACTGGAACCCTTGTAGCTCCTATATCAGACCCTTAAACCCTAGTAGTACCCCTGTAGATCCCTTTCAAGGAACCATTATGACTAGTATCACTACAGATCTCAGATAGTTCCTATACAGATCCCTTTAAAGGAACCCTTCTAGTACCCTTTTAGATCCATTTGGAGGAACCCTTATAGTACCCTTTTAGATCCCTTTGAAGGAGCCCCTAGAGTCCCTCTATTCTGCTGATGGAGGTCCCCAGACGCGTAGCTCTCTACATTAGGGTCCCTTCTAGGGCCCTT